GACCGATTTAAAATGCCGTCACGCGTCGATAAACTTCAAGGTCTTTTTGAAAATGAAGTTTGAGCATTTAAGCGCGTAGCGTTTTTAGAAAGCGAAATCTACAACTTGAGAAAGGCAGTGAGCTTTACGGTAAACAACTAAAACTCCGACGGCGACATGTAATTTCTTCTGTAAACAACGAAGCGAGGAAAATTAAATTACCGCTTTCTTTGTACAGAGTTACAAAATGGTTTTACGCAGTCGGTTTTGCTGACGATAACCGATTTATTTTAAAGGGAATGATTTGAAACTAAGTTCTTGGACCATGAAGTGCGTCTTTTGCGATACGATCAATATTGATCGTATCGCGTTATTGACGAACCGAACTAGCTTGAGAAACAACAAGTGTGGTGCCCGGTTTATATGACTAACAAAAGGTTTATGTGAAGATATGATTGATCATCGCAGTTATACACACAAATTAAGCAGTTGTGAAATAAAAGCCTGAAAAAAATTCAGGCCTGAACGGGATTCGAACCCATGACCTCTGCGATACCGGTGCAGTGCTCTACCAACTGAGCTATCGAGCCAACTGGGAGCTGGTCACATTGTGATTTCGTAACATACCCGTAGGGTATATGGTCGCGCAGGTTAGCAAAATGAACAGTATAAATAGTATTAAGTAAGTCAGTCTCTACTTAACAGAGGTCTACAGGGCTGTTTTTCACTTCCGCTTCCCAGGTATTATATCGTTTTTCGCCGATGTCAACTTCCACGAGTGAGTTCTCCGCCGCTGTGTTAACGTTGTATGTTAGGATTTGTTTTAATGATGCCTTCCTAGTCCATAATGCGCACACATTCCAGTGACTTATTCAGTGATGGATTGCACGTTGTAACTTGTATGTGAATATTGGATGTGAACTACCGTCACTCGTTCGAAGCGGTAGTCGATGTTATATTAATAGTAACAGCCTGAGCCCTGTAAGGTTTATCATCAATTCTCTCAGTGCTTCAATACCAACCCCTGCATTACATGGAGCGACGCCTGTTACCGCTGATTCGTATATCAGTACGCCAACAAGGCCTTGCGGCCTTCTTAAAGAGGTTCGACCACACATTTTTGACGACTTGTAGAACTTATAGAAAAAATCTCTAGATTGCTATCGACTGACGAAAATCACTAACAATCGATAGTCTCTAACTTTGAGAATATCGATTGATAGCGATTGAACAACCTCGTTCCCAGGGATTTTTAGGGAAAAGCCCTGGGAACGAGGTTGGCGTTTGGAAAAACTCGATAGTAACCACACACTTTTTTATAAGGATACATTTTACACGAATATCGAGGCTGAAATAAATTGGCTCCAATAAATTGGCCAGCCTGAAATTCGAACCCAGGCTCCTGGGCTTTTATGCCAAATAAGACGGTAACTGCATTTTGATTTTTTTTTTTTCGTTCATAGCTGAGCTAACAGTTGAAAAAAATAACTAAGGGCGCGAAACCGTTTCGACACCACGTCGATCGACATTTTTTTCGTTATCTCTCCTCTTCTTTTGAAAACCAAAGGACCGTTTTAAAGAACTTGTGCTGCCGATGCCGCTAAAATTAACCGTTTAAGTTTGTATCGAAGTCCACCTTCGATTAATATAGAGTTCCGGAGAGATCGAGGGATTCGCACAGCCGGGAAAGGTTCTATCAATCGTTTATAATACCGTTTATAAAATAAAATGCCCAAGAAAGAAAATATATAATCCGACCTTAGGGCTTCTTATGTTTTCCTGGTTTTAGTTTTTTTGTGTTCCCGGTTTTTTTAATCCCGGCGTTTAGGATTTTTTTTTTACGTTCAGGGTTTTAGTAGTTTAAGTATTCTAGGCTTTCCCCGTTACAGTCGATCGAATTCTTCGAAGGTGGATTTCAACGCAACGCAAACTTAAACGGTTACTTTTAGCAGCTTCGACAGCACGGTTTTTTAAATTTTTAAATAGGTGTTTTGGTTTTTGATAGAAGAGGAGAAATAGACCGGAGAAAAAATCGACTGGCCTCGTATCGAACCGGTGTCGGCCTATCCGTGTGCAAATACTAATCAAAAGAGAAGCTCACGACATAAAGAAAAGGTGATAATAAAAAAACAGAAAGAAAAGCCAATCGCGCTTATTAGATTCGATCCTTCCACTATTCCATACTATTGTCGATTACATGTCGCCGTCGGAGTTTTAGTTGTTTACCGTAAAGCTCACCGCCTTTCTCAAGTTGTAGATTTCGCTTTTTAAAAACGCTACACGCTTAAATGCTCAAACTTCATTTTAAAAAAGACCTTGAAGTTTATC